GGGAGAGCACTATGAGAGGGGGAGGGCAGAGGAGAGCACTAAGGGGAGGAGAGACACTGGGGGGAGGAGAGACCACTAAGGGACACTGGAGCGGGGGAGGAGAAACCACTAAGGGAAAGATGGGGGAAGGAGGAGAACTCTAGGGAACAGGGGGGAGGGAGAGCACTATGGGAAAGGGAGGGCAGGGGAGAACACTAAGGGACAGGAGGGGAGGGGAGATCACTAAGGGACAGGAGGTCAGTGGAGAGTACTAAGGGACAGGGGAGCAGGGAAGAGCACTAAGGGACAGGGGGCAGGGGAGATCACTAAGGGATGAGAGATCACTAAGGGGTGGGAGATCACTAAGGGGTGGGAGAGCACTAAGGGATAGGAGAGCAATAAGGGACAGGAGAGCATCAAGGGACATTAGGGAAGGGGAGAGCACTAAGGGAGAGGAGGGAAGGGGACAACACTAAAGGACAGGAGGGGAGGAGAGAGTTCTAAGGGACAGGATGAGAGACCTCTAAGGGACAGGGGGAGAGGTGGAGTTGAGACCACTAACGGACGGGGGAAGTGGAAGAGATGATTAAGGGACGGGGGGAGTGTAAGACACACATAGAGGCTGAGGAAGGGGTAAAAGAGAAGCACAGAAGGGCTGGTAGGGGAGACACACAGAGGGGCTCAACAGAGAAACACACAAAGTCGCTTGTGAGGGAGACTCACAGAAGAGCCTGGAGGGAAAAAAGACACACCAAGGAGCTGGGAAGAGTAAGACACAAAGGGGCATTGGGAAGTAAGACATGCAAAGGGGTTGCGAGGATGTAGGAGACATACAAAGAGGTGGGATAAGAGACACAAAAGGGTTTTGTAAGAGATACACTAAACAGGACTGTAAGACACAAAACTTAAATAAAAAATATACAAAAACAATTATATTAACAAAATAAATATAATAATAAAAATAAAGAGCTTCTCCCCTCTCAGGCCCTATCCTACACCACAAACCCTCTCTTTCACACTACACACATACATAATTCACACACTGAAATATACAATGCATCCTACACTCACACAGAAACACACCATTCTTCCCTTACACACACAGAAACACACAATGCACCCTTTACAAATACACACACACACAATGCAGTCCTTGCACACAATGCGTCCCTTACACACACACACATACACACACACAGCTTCTCTTAATGCATCTCTTACACACACTCAATGTACCCTTTACAGGCACACACACTGCATTACGAAACACTCCTTGCATCCCTTACACATACAAACACATGCACACACACACAGAAACACATAATGCATTCTTTACACACAAACACACACTGCATCCCCTATACACAACCACTACATCCCTTACACAAACTGGTATCCCTTTACATTACATTCCATAAGAACACACACATTACATCCTCTACTATAACACATCCCCTACACACATACACTCCACTCCCTGTGAGCGAACTCATGGGTGGGCCTTGTAGGCATCAGGCTTATGGGCAGACCTTATGGGCCGTGGGGGCCCAGACCGTGATCTGTGTAAGGGGCCCCAAAAAATAAAGCTGCTTCCTGTTCATTGTATTTGTGAGTACTGCCTTTAGAGAGCCTGTTTTAACACCAGACCAGTGGAGCCAGACTGCAGCCTGTGCCCAGGGCCGGCCTTAGGGGTGTGCGAGCTGTGCGACCGCACAGGGCGCCATGGAACAGGGGGCGCCCTGTGGCCGACACAGCTCACTCATGGCCGGAGTGCAGGGGAGCTAAAAGAGGTACCTGGCTGGAGGATTAATTATTCTCCACCCGGGTCTATTTAAAAAAAAAAAAAAAAATCGCGGCAGAGGGGGCGGGGTTTACCGAGCGGCAGAGGCGGGGCTTATCGAGAGGTGGAGACGGGGCTAATACCTCCCATAGCCCCTGCTGTACAGGAAGAGGGAAAGATGCTTCCCCATCAGCCAACTGCATCCACTGGAAAGAGGTAAGTGTGTGTGTGTGACTGTTTGCCTGTTTGTGTGACTGTCTGTGTGTGTGTGACTGTTTGCCTGTTTGTGTGACTGTCTGTGTGTGTGTGTGACTGTCTGTGTGACTGCCTGCCTGTGTGCGTGTGACTGTCTGTGTGTGTGTATGTGACTGTCTGTGTGACTGCCTGTCCTTGTGTGTGTGTGTGTGTGTGTGACTGTCTGTCTCTGTGTGTGTGTGTGACTGTCTCTGTGTGTGACTGTCTCTGTGTGTGACTGCCTGCCTGTGTGTGACTGTCTGTGTGTGTGACTGTCTGTCTGTGTGTGTGACTGCCTGTGTGTGTGACTGCCTGTATGTGACTGCCTGCCTGTGTGTGTCTGTCTGTAACTATCTGTCTGTGTGTGACTGCCTGCCTGTGTGTGTAACTTTCTATCTGTGTGACTGCCTGCCTGTGTGTGTATAACTGTCTATGTGTGTGTTACTGTGTGTCTGTCTGTGTGTGTGACTGCCTATGTGACTGTCTGTCTGTGTGTCGCTGTAGCTGTGCCATTGTTTGTGCCTGTGCCTGTATGTGTGACTGCCTTTAACTGAGTGTGTGTGTACATGCCTGTAACCGAGTTTAAATTTCCCCCACCCCTTCCTGTCAAGGCCGCACTTTGACTGACAGACGCTCACTCACTGACAGACGCACACTCACTGACAGACACACACTCACTGACAGACACACACACTCATATACACTGACAAACAATGACATACACACATACACTATTACTTGGACACACACTGACAGATGCACACTCTCACTGACAGACGCAAGCACTCACTGAAAGATGCACGACTCCACTGACCGACACATACACACTGACTGACACACACTCACTGACCGACACACACTCACTGACCGACACACACACACTCACTGACTTACACACTCACTGACTTACACACTCACTGACCACACATACACACTCACTGACCACACATACACACTCACTGACTGACACATACACACTCACTGACTGACACATATACACTCACTGACCAACACACACATTCACTCACAGACACACACACATTCACTTACAGACACACACAATTACACACTTACAGACACACACACACACACACACACACACACATTCACTTCAAAATAAACACTCACAGACACACACACAGACATTTCCACCAACACTCACAAACTAATATTTTTTACATTTATTTTAAATCCACCCAGCCTCCCTGGGAAAGCTGGAGTGGATTTCTTACCAGCAGTCCAGTGTGGCTGCTGGGCAGGCAGGCAGGGGGCGCACAGGCTGAGTAAGCAGCGCGTAGTGATGCCGGGAGCCGGACTGACGTCATATTCTGGCTCCCGGCTTCATTAAGCGGCGCAGAGGAAGCTGAGCAGGAAGAGCTCAGGTGAGTATGCTCCTTCGCTGCCCGCTGCCAGCCTTGGGGGGGCTCAAAAGTGGCTAGCCGGTCAGCTCTTGAGCCCCCCAGGATGCGAGGCAAGCAAGGGATCTGCCTGGGGGTTTGGAGGGATGCTTTTTTTTGCCGCCCCCTGCAAAGTGGCACCCAATGCAGATGCCTTGTTTGCCTCGTGATACACACGTCCCCGGTGCCTGTGTGTGTTACTGTATTCAGGCAACTTGGTGGGAGGTGGGGGGGGCGCCGTGAAGACTTTTTGCACAGGGCGCCTAATTGCCTAAGGCCGGCCCTGCCTGTGCCCATCATCATCATCTTGTCCTCATCTGGTGGTAAGTAGGCAATCCAGTATATTATTGGTGGCACTAATCCCTAATTTACCTCACATTAAAGGGCCACTATAGTCACCAGAACCATCTACAGCTTGATGTAGTGGTTCTGGTGTATCTGTCCCTGCAGACTTTTTAATATAAACACACTGCCTTTTCAGAGAAAAGACACTATATGCAGCACTGATGTTGGCTCATATAGCAGATCATATGGATGGGGCATTGTGATGCGGGGGGGTGGGAGCGGCAAATATTTGTTTGCCTAGGGTGGCAAAAATCCTTGCACAGGCCCTGGGGAGGGGGCAAGTTTTTGTCAGTTAGGAGCTGTAGGAAGATAGATTATACTCTTGTGGCACCGCAGCAGCAGTAATGTGTGCTTATTAAAAACATTTTTATACCCTCATCACACGGTGAGGGTGCCACATTTTGGAGGCCCCAGCAAGATTGAATTCAGTGAGGGCCGGCTTCCAGTGGTGGCAGTCTACCTCCAGTATCATTCAACGCACTACTCAGCTAAGGAGAGCAACACGCTCGGCAAGAGGTGGAATATTGAGGCCAGCAAGGATCAAAAAGCCCCCTGTTCATGCTCCCTGAGGAAGTGGAGACTTATTCATGAAACACGTAGGAGATTGCACACAAACAACCACCGATCAGTGAACACTATTAGCTTTGCTTTTTGACCCCCGCTGGCCTTGATATTTAACCTCTCGGCGACCGAGGGTGCCGGTTGACAACTGCAGCACGGTGTGGGCTTTTTACTTCCTGGACTATACAGGTCAGAAATTGGCATTCATCACCGGTTATATCCACGCCTATTGAGACTTTTTATATATACATATATATATATATATATATATATATATATAAAACCAAGAGGGCTGCACTCACCTGAACATACATAAATTATAGGGTTCTGCTGGGGCCAAAATACACAAAATACAAAATCCAGCGCACTCACTTATTCACTAAACAATGATTTCAAATCTTAGCAATTGTAATAGTTTTATATAAAAACACCTCACCTAGGCAAAAAATAATGGGGGTTTAGTTACATTATATGATCATATATTGTATAAGCCTGCCACAACATCAATGAACCCCATTCTTGGCAGGTCTTACACTAGCAGCCTAATGTTTGCTCTTAAGAGATTAATCCACTTACTTGGACTCTCTGCAAGT